CTTTGCGACTAAGGAGCAATCTCAGGGAACTTCTGGTTAAATTTATTTTTGGAAGTTTAAAGTTTTACGAGATGCATTTGTAAGTTGAATCCCCGAAAGCGAACTGCTGCTTCCTCTATTGGCTTTTGGGTCATTACTTGACTTCTGGACGGGAGTTTGCCAACAACTTGAAGCCAGTTTAAAACTTGGTCATCCACACACACACACACGCTAGCAATGGCACTGACACAGACTCATTTATGGATAACAGTTCGCTGTCTGTGTGTGAGTGACAGTATCTGTGTGTGACTGCCACTGTAACTATGTCATTGCGGTTTCCTTAATTCATTTTGTTTGTAGGCGGCGGCGCAACATTGTCAGTGTCATCCCCCATCGTCAGCGCCATTGTCAGGCACCGACCGCAGTCCCGCTGATTGCACAGGCACCCAGAGACACACTCCGCAGAGAGCGAGAGAGAGTGGGTTCGCAGGGGGAGGCAGTTGGTCCTGTGGCACGACATTGTGCTGCTCAGTGCTGCCTTCAGTGCTGTTGTTCCTGGACACTGTTTTTAGTTGTGAATGGTGCCGCTAAGCGGATTAACGCTGTTATTTTAAGTTCAACAAACGAACGAAGAATAAATTAATGAGTTTTCACTGTGGTCGAGCAGACTGCGGCGGCGGCAGCGGCGGCAGCGGCGTGTTTGGTTCTGCCACCGAATGGGTTTAACAGCAGAAAGCCAAAAGCCCAAACACACACAAACCCATTACGACAACCCCATACCAGCCACCAAAAATGTTCTTCTCTAGCCCACTAGACCCAGCGCCATTAAGCGCTCTCACCAAGAACTGTAATCTGTTCTTTGGTATTCCATTTGTGGGAGGGCGTTGGATACCCTTTGGTTCCCTTTCCGGTTGCCTTGAGTCGTTGAATTCTGTAATTTTAGGTAACAATTTACCATAAGACATCTCAGATTGGATATTAGGTATACCCCTAGGGCAACACCCACTCGAAAGGGTATACTTACGAGCTTCCTTTTCCCCAAATCTCAACCGAGTTTCTTGTTTTCGTTTGTGTGTGCTGAAGGGGTCATTCTCTTGGCTTTTTTCTGTTCCCATTCCCTCTTCTGTTTGTATTTGCATTTGTATTTGTAATTGTTATGGTTTTCACATCGATTGTTAAAATGCTGCTCCCACTTCCTCCCCCCCCCCCCCTCCCCNTCTCTCTATCCCTTTATCAGTGTGTGGGTGGGTGCATGCCGGACACTGAAACTGTAATTAGTTTGAAATTTATGCGGACCCGCTTCCGCATTGTTCTCGTCGAGGATCACGTCCGTGCGGAGCTTTATTTTTTATGGTCCGCTCTGCCAACCACGTCCTGGCAATTATTATTTGTGTGCATGAGTTTTTTGTTGTTTCACTTCGCATCGCATCGCATCGGTTTTGTTTGCTTTACTTTCGCTCTCTTGTTTTTCATTTTGTTGTTGGATACAAATTCTATGAATTTTCAATCCCAAATCGGATTATGGCATTAGCAGGCTGCTCGGTTCGCAGGAGCAACAATACCACAGCAAAAGAATTTACAGCTTTCACTGAACCAAAGGTCAGACACGGATGGGTCAGCATTAAAAATGAGCAAGCAAAGCCAATGACATGGATCTTTGGTAATAATGATATGCAACTAAGCCGGTACCTATCCCTCTCCTCGATGTCAAGTGCACAAATTGTAAACTTCACAGCAGGAAAAAATCAGGGGAAAAACAGAGATAACAGAGATAGAAAAAGGGGTGAGGGAGAAAAGGTTTAAGTTGCATAATTGAGCTGAGATGCAATTAAGCAGTTTTCGACAAGTTGCCATCGAATATTTTGCAGGACAAGTGCCAGTCCTCGGTCCTCGTCACTCTGCTGGCTCTTGGTTCTGGTTCCTGGCAGGATGCATCCGCCACTGCATCCGCCGTCGAGCTTTGACGAGCACAGCCATCCGGATAATGGGAAACGCTCGAAAGTCCTTTTTGCCTTTGATGGCCCGTGACTTTTAGCTGCGCTGAGCCCCACTCTGAGCTCCGCTAACTTGGCCAGACATTTTTGTATCGCATTGCAAAATTCACCACAAAATTGCTGGTAATTAGCAAAAGTTCGTTCTCAATGCTGCTAATTGATTCGGAGGAAATCTTGGCTGGTTAGTCAATGAAATTGGGGATTATTAGGTGATTGAATCGATCGAGTTTTTGGGTGGGGCCAAACATCTTAAGGGCATCAGTATGGCCACAAATTTAATTGGCCGCCCTACGCCTGCGAATTTAATGAGCTTTTGGTTAGTTAAGGAGTCTATGAAATGTACCCAAGGACCTCCCTCATTTTCTCTTTGGATAGTTTCCCTAGAAACACTAACCTCAAAGAGCTCACTTCACGTCTTCCCTTTTATCCGTCAGTTAACTATAATTGACAAACGCTTTGGCTTTTAGTCAGTTTGTTTGTGTTTCCCTCCTCGATTTGCCACAAAGAGGCTGCCACCAGGAAGGTGCATCGGCAGGAGATGAAATTTACTCTTTTACGAGCTCGAATTCGGTGCAGCTTTTGCTTTGGCCAGAAAATTAACTCACTCGCTTACACTGCCCTACACAAACTCAAAGCTGGGGCCCAAGCAAAAAATGTTGCACAAAAAAGATTCACTTCACTTTGATTCTCCCTTTCTCTTCCTCCACTCTCGTTTAGCTTAGTTTTTGTTGTGTTTTGTCTTCTGCTGCCTTTCAGGGCATTCATTATGCCACTCCTCACTCTGTCTCTTAACCCCCTGGTTGCGCCTCCATTTATCACAGTTTGTGCGCATTTGTCGACTTGCCTTATCCTGGACGGGCGGCTGGGTGGGTGGCGCCCCACATCCGTTGCCACTCGTCACAGCTCCGCACAGATCCAGATCCCTGGGGAAAGCCACTGAGGAAAAAGCGCCAGGGAGCTGAGAGCAGGAGGCACAGATTGTGAGGCAAGTTGTCAAAGAGCTGCCAGCTGCGATGGCTTGGCGGAAAAATGTCTTTTAATTAGTGTTTAATTGAATTGCAAACTGGAATTTTAATCGAAAATTGCAACGGGATACTGGCTACGATCCCCCAAAGTCATGGCTCAACATTTCCGCACACTTGAGGACACAGTTTGAATTGTGCATTAAGCTGAACACTTAGACTGTTTGCTTAGACACCAACTGTTGGACATTGATTGTTTTCCTTGGTGGTCACTTGTACAACTTGGCACAAAACATATCACCAATAAGGCCATGTGTAGAGTGGATTGTCTGTGTGCAAAGGAAACTGAGGCAAAGGATACTGAGAGTAGAAGCCATTGGTCTCTAACCTGAAGGTTTGATTCGTTTCTCCGTTGATTCAGTGATCCTCTAAAGCCCGAAGGTTTGATTCAAGCAAAACCTGAAGGCTTTGTTCCTTTTCCATTAAAATTCTCCTGCAAGCAGTTCATTGACTGCACCTGAAGATGTGGCTTACTTTTTTTGGTTTTACTTGTGGTGCTGTTGTTATCAGCTTGCATTTGTTATGCCTCACTTAACCTGCTCTTGGTATATCCCTGGATAACGAATAGTAAATTGCTGGTAGCCACATGAGGCGAGCCGCCCGCACATTTAATTGATTATAATTACTTACATGTCCTAATGCAATTCATCAAACGCGCATTGTCCCCTTTAGCCCAGGGTGGCAGGGCAAGGCTCAGCGACGCCGAGGAGTCCTGGAAGCCAGTTACCGAGTCTGACTCTCCCAACGCCCAGCTGCGTGCCTTTGACGACAATAATGAGCATAATGATGCTGCCACGACTGCTGCTGCTGCTGCTGCTGCTGCAGGCCGTGCAGTGCCGTGCCGCTGCTGTTAATGCCACAATAAAGACCACAGCATGGATGCCGTCGTCGTTGTCGTTGCCGTTGCCCCAAGGGCGGCTAACATGGCCACGGCTCACGTACAAATTGCATGATTATTATCAAGGATAATTAATGTTGATGCCAGCGAGACCGTACCGCACCCGAAGGGACGAAGCGAGGAGTGCCAGGACAAGTTCAACAAAAGGACAACTCCATATATGAGAAGCCCTCTGACACTGACCGACCGACCGACCCACCGACCGACCATCTATTTAGCCAGAGGCCACACGCTGGACTTCAACCCGTTAATATAGGATACAGATACATATAGTAGCCAGCAGTGTCAACTGCAGCTATTGATTCAACCATTTACCAAACTTGAAATGAAACACATTTAAACTTTACTTCAAGTTCACTTTGAAGTCCAAGCCATGTCCCCAGCAGACTTTTTTGTTGCCGCCATTAGGAAAACTGAACTGAAATGCTGGGACAATCGGAAAAGGATGAGCAATGTAGAGCAAGAAGGCGCATTAGTGTAAATCAATTCGCATCACATAATGCCACTACATAAATGCCAAATCATGGCAATACGTGAGCATTCAGTGGCTTAGCCATGTCCCAAATACTTGCAAATTCCAATTGAATTGAGCAAATTAACAGGCACATAGTGACAGGGTGATAGAATGAGAAAATGGCGCTCCGCAGATTCTGGATCCGGAATATGCAATTCACAAATTGTTTGGCCCAAACCTAAACCCTAAACCCCAAAGCACAATGCGTAATGTAATCAAATGTATTGAAGTTAATGAGCTACTTAACCGACTTCTACCGCCATATCAAATGTATGTGGTGGGCAGGGGCGTTGCCATTGCCACTGCCGTGATTGTGAGCATATAATTATGGGTTGTCCTGAATTAGGTCGAGTGGCATATGCTGGCCACAAATGCCGAGCCGTGGCATGAAGAAGTTGAGCCCTGGGGGCATTGATTAACTGGGATATGGCATCACTCTGTGGAATAATCGAGCATATATATATTGTGTATGTGATTCAATGAAATAAACGCCGTCTCAGAGGGGGGAATTTGCCAGCAGCGTGTTCAGAATTTACATGAAATATTTTTCAATAATTTTAAAGCAATATAAAACGATTTGCGCTGCTCCCAGGAAAAATACAAATTTAATTGAACAAGTTGAATCAATTTAAGTCAGAATCGAATCCATATTAATGCAATGGGCCATTATTTCCCTGTCCTCGGGAGAAGGAAAGAGCCGGCCCAAGAACTCGAGCAGACAAGGCTGCTCGGAGACCACAGCGGAGTAGTCCTCAAACGAGATCAAACCATCCTTGTCGACATCAAACTTCTTGATAATAAATTCACCCATGTCCTGAAGAGAATATTAACCCATAAAATAGCAACAACATTAGACATATTAATCATAATGCCTTACCGCTCTTAGTTCTGTGATCTCATCCTCGTCTTCGCCAGTGAAGAATTTCTCGCAAGCCAAACTTACTTGTTCGCGATCTATAAAGCCAGTGGCCTTTGTATCATAGATCTACAAAGCAAAGCACAAACTAATTATCAACTCTTAGAGAAGGAGAATCAACCTAGACTTACATCAAAGGCAAAGCGCATACGCACTGAGAGATCCTTGGTTGTGTAGAGACTGAAGAGCTGCACCCAGGCCTGGGGACTCACGTACTTCACATCCTTGGTGACGGCAAATAAAGTGCGATCAATGGTCTGCACATTTGAAACTTTGAACAGCACCAAAAACAGTTGATAGAACTGAATTTTGGTCATCTTCTTGGCATTTGGCCCATTGACCTTGGCGAACTTGTAGTAAACCATCAGCAGACAGTTGATATCCGTCTGGGAAAGATGCGAAATCCCTACAAGTTCCCTGATCAGGCCGCCATAAACGGCGACAAAACGACTGTTCTCCATGCTATCGATGGTGGCATCTAGATAATCCATTTCGGAAAATTGTTGAATTTATTTTGATGTTTGTGATGATGGAGAGAGTTCAAGTTGTTCTGTTTAAATTTGATTTAGTTTCGTTTTGTTACGTTTGGGAGATTATCGTTCAAGGGCCTGCCTTTGTTCTTCAAAGTAAATTAAATTCTGTCAGAAATGATGCGCCCTCCATCCTCCTGAGCTTCAGCTGCTGAGTGCCTTAACCGTTTTATGTGAATTAAATTGTTCCCAAATTTCTGCGTCACGCCACAATTTGTCTTACTTATCCGCAAATTTTACAGATTTAAGTCTTCTCCAAATACCGTATGCAAAATGTATCAATCAAAATTCTATACCGAAAAGTACAATAAAACCAAAAATCCAGACACAACGCTCTGGCACATGTGGGTCTCTGTGTGTAAATCCGCCAACACTTGGCGATGTCAACTTTCGGAGACATTAAGAAGCGTGAATCCTTCTACCCTTTCCACTCACGTGTGGTATTGTGCTTTGAAGGAGTTGTTTGCCATGCTGACAGGGATAATCATTACGTTTCTTTGAAGATCTCTGACAGCAGCTTTCTTTTTACTGCTAAAACTAATCTACAATCTGACGACTGTATGGATTGGTAAGGGTATTCTTTGGTTCAGCCTTAAAATTAATCTTTTCTTTTCGCCTTTTTCTCCCTTTCATTTTATTGTTATTATGCCGTGTCGAGCGGTTGAGGCCGCCGTTCCCTGCACCTCTTATGTGTGTTTGTTTCTCGGGGCTGCGGCACCCACCCGCACTTCTTTTCGGTATTTGCTAAGGGCGTGGCATGTGTGGGGACACACAATTACACACCAAAGGGGGAAAGGCAACGGGCAACGGCAACCCAAACAAAATGGCTACACACAGCCGCTTCCGCCAAATTTCCACATGGCAGGGCTTTACACCCATCTCAACGCTTTTGTTTGGATTATTATATTCGCGTTTCTCATGCGCACAGCTTTGAGCCATTCATTCCTTTCTCTCCTTTCTCTCCTTTCTCTCCTTTTTTTTGTTGCTGTTGCTACTTTTGTGTGTTTGTTTCAAATATTTATTTCGAAGGCTCCCAAAATGGGGGACAGATGTAGTCCATGTACCGTGGCTGATGTATTTTTTATGTCTCGCCGTTGCTTTTATTGCTTTTAAATTGCGCTCGTTACAAGCGCATTCCTTCTCATCCGCTCCTTTCGGAGTCAGCTGCTGCTGACTTACCCAATCTATTTGTGATTTGTCTTAGCCGCATATGGTTCATACACTGTAACCCAAAAACATATCCAACCAAGTAGGCCTGCTCCAGAGATGTTAATCAATTTGTAGCACACACTTTCCCGTTTCGAACACACAATTATTCCACAACCCGAACAGCAGGAACACATGCTAGGTACTCCCCAACAAAATAAACCGTAAATTAATAAGCACCCAAAAGACACCAAAACCAGCAACAAAATGAATCGCATTGACGCCTCCATGGATGACATGGCCAACAACAAGTTCCTGACTCTCTACAGCAGTGTGATCAAAAGCTATGCCGCCTCCACGGACTTTAGCTACAACGAAGTCGTCTGCCTGTTGATCGTCTACTACAAGTTTTCGCTGAGCAATGGGCCCTCCTCTCGGATGATGACCATCAATCAGCTGTACGGCCTCTTTCTGGTGCTGTTCCAGATCTTCGATGTCAGCATCATCGATCGCATTCTGGTGAACATTACGCAAGATGCGCGCACTGTTTCCCCGGATGCATGGATGCAACTGTTTTCGGTGTTTCTGAGCCGCAACCTACAAGAACGTTTGCGATTTGCATACAGTGTGAGTAGTACTTGGGATTCTGAATCTTCCCTGAACATCCCTAAAATGTTCATTTCAGGTCTATACAAGTGCTGGCACACAAGTGCTTAACCGTGAGACAGTGGCCCTGGCTGTGGAGAAGTTCTTTGTTGGCGAAGACGAAGATGAGGTTCAGGAGCTTCGAGCGGTAAGTAATTTAATTCATTTGTATTATCTTAATACATAAGATTATTCTTCTGTTAGGACATGTGCGAGTTTCTGTTCAATAAGTTCGACATTGATAAGGATGGTATTATATCGTTTGAGGAGTATGCCGAAATAGTCAACCGTCAGCCGGGTCTGCTGGAGTTTCTGGGCCAAATCTATCCCGATGATAACGATAAAACCCTGATTGCCTACTGCAACAACATTGAGAGTATGTTCCCCACCGAAGATTAGCGTTCAATTACATGCGATTTATGATTGGATAGACTTTATCTTACCTCATTTGTTGTAGGGCTCTTGTCCCGTGTTTGCTGTCTTGTTTTTTTCTGTCGCAAGTGTTGAAAATGGGCGCTTAAGGGATACAATACACAGACCAACTTAAAATAAAGTCATTTTCCATTAAGTACAACCAGAGAAAAGTTGGAATTGCCTTCACAGACTGTGACTTCAACTGCCAGTGCCAGTGCCAGTGCCACTGCCACTGCGGGTTCTCTGCTGTACAGTTTTGTTGTGTTGTGTAAATCCGTGTCTCTTTTCCTTGGGTTTAACTCTTTTTTGGGTGCGGGTTGCGGAACTTTTGTTTGTCTATGCTGCGGCTTTGTAAAGCAATTAAATTCCCAAGCAACACATGCGGGTTTCGACTGCGACAACAAGTGAAACAACAGCTGAAATTCTAATTAAATTTGCTTCAAAATTATGTGAATCAGAGAGAGAGAGAAAAGGAGAGGAAGTGCAATTTCTTAGAAAAATTAAAATACTTTCACTTGTCGCATGTTTCAAGAACATTTCCTCAAACACATATTCCACTGTGGCTTTCTCTGCTGGCAGCACAAAAAACCATTTAAGGACATAGAAATTTAACGCTCTCTGCACTCGAAAAGGGGAATCAGAAAAATGTCAGAAATCAGATTCGTAAAGAACAAGTATAGAGGCCACTGAGAGGCGGAGAGGCTGAGCTGAAGGCGTGGTCCATTCTGGTGACCCAGAGTCATTGACACGCCTCATTTTCGGGGGCATTGGCTGGGCATTAAAATCAGCGCGTGACTCGAAGTCCCAGACAGTTGTTGCTGCTGTGCTGTCAAAGCAGAAGCAAAAATGAAAATGAAAATAAAAAAAAAAAGGGATCAGAAGAGGCTCAACAGAAAGCATGAAAAGTGACCGCGACATCCAGCTGCTGGCTCTCGCCCCTATCGCCCTTCTGCCTCGTGGCTCCCTCCTGCTGGTTGCTGTGTGGGGCAGAGTTCGTCACGACTTTGCCACTTGGCTGCCAAAAGGGTCCTTGCCGCCTGTTGTCCTTTTTTCAGCATTAACACGCGGCCTCCTGTTGCATTTCAGTTAAAATGTCGAGGGCCCCAAATGGGCTCCCATTTTTTCCGTTCGCCTTTGCTGCCTCGAGTGTGTTTTCACCGACAAAAAAAAAGCAACAAGAAGCAACACCCCCTCCCAAAGCAACATTGCAAAAAGGCAGCAACAAATTGAGTAAAACCAACAGACATTTCCCCCTCCCCTTGCCCTTCGGCACATTTGTATTCCCAAACCCAAGCCCAACCAAACACACGGGAACGAACACCCTTTCCAGCCCCCCACATGTGTATCCTGCTGTTATCCTTTCGCGTTCGTCAGTCCATTTATCGCCCAGCCCCAACTTTTGACTGCCAAACGGCGCTCTGGGTTCCTCCATACCTCCTACATGCATTCTCCTGTATGCATTTTTTTTCTGTTGCCAACTGCAGTAAATCTTGTGGTGCAACTGGGTGGCATTTTTATGAAGTTATACCACAAACTGCAGGCTGCCTGCACGCTGCCTGCTGCCTGCTGCCCCTTCGTGTGCAGTGCATTAACACATGCCAGATGAAAATGTGCATTTTCCAAATGAAATGACCGACACAATGGAGCCGCGTGAGGCAATGTTCAGCACTGTTGAATGCCACAAAGGGAGTTAACCCCTCTTCGGCACTCGGGTTGGTTCAATGAGATGACTTATTCAAACATTACATTGTGTAATGGTCCTATAAGTGCTATAAGAGTCATCAGATTTGTTTTAAAGAATGCACGATTTGTTATTTGTTGTCTTGAGGTGTCCCAAGGATGTTTAATTCTCGTTAAAACCAATATCTCATGCCATTGATTGCCCTTTAAATGATTTTTCTATTCCAATGCATTCGAAATTCCGAATGAAAACAAACAATTCTAAACACAGAAAGATAAAAATCATAATGCAAACAAATTGCCTTTTCAGGACTCAAACAGCTAGCGGGAAGACGCAAAATCTGCGCACTCAAAACAGGGGAAAGTATTCTACAGATGGGGGAATACAGAGAAAGGAAGGCACATACACGGAGCTGGAGCGTAGAAAAATGCGCATTTTGCTTATGCCTTTTACGATAGGCGATAACAATGATAATAATAATCCGATTCGCATAACATCAGGCAATGGAACGGCGGAGACGGAAGACGGGGATGGGCAGAGAGACAGAGTATCAGGCGACCTGGAATCGGTTTGATTGTCACATTGTCATCATCTGCATATTAAGTACAAGTGATTACACTCTCACGTGTTCGGCTACAGAAACACACACAGGTAAGCACATGTCCTTGGTTCAGCAAGGACTTACATCCCCTTCCCAATCCGCCCATTTCCCCACTCCCACTCCCACTCCCATGTATGATGTGTGCTGCATTGAAAATTCGGCATTTAAATCTAACCAAGCAAGAGCAGAATAAGAAAGCAGCGAGCGAGCACAAAAGCCAAGATACATCTACCAGATACATATGTATCTTTTGTTAACGAGCACGAATCGGTTCGAGAGAGCGAGCGAGCGAAATGTAAATGCTTTTTCGATTCGAATGGAGGGGGAGGTACCCCTGAAGACATGGAGGCGAAGAGAGAAATCAAATCTGTTTTTTTTTTAGGTGGGGAAACGGAAACGGAATCCATTTCTGGCACGTGAAGTCGTTTGATTATTCGGGATGAAAGTGAAATTCCAAGCGGGGAAAACCATAAACTTTTTGCTGATATAAATTCCAAGTACAATCACCTAATAAACTCTCATGTGAGGCAGGAGCTGAGGAGAGTAAACTACTTATTTGGTAGAAAAACAAACAAGCAGCAATTAAGCATTACCCCACACAAATGACTAGAGCTCGGACTCCGAGTTGCAGTTTCAGTTCCAGTTGCAGACTACAAAATTCTGTTTTTCCTTTGTCTTTGGGGTTTTCCCCCAGAAGTGAAACTAACCACTTCAGAGCACACAACTCGCATAAACAAAAGCCAGACAATGGGTTCGCTTGGGCTCCCAAGAAGTTGTTGCTGAGGCAGCCACGAAAGTGGAAACTATGGCAGGAAAGAATGTCTGCATGGCTTTGTTGGGCTGGGGAAATACTTGAAAAATCGTAAAATTGAAATTATAATTGCAACTGCAACTGATTCCGAAAAGGGCTGACTGCCTTGCTGCGCTGTCTGTTGTTCTTTCAGACTTCTGCTGTTTTGTGTTGTGTGCTTGCCTGCCGCCAAAGATGGTCTAATTGCGCCACTAACTGGCTGAAATCATTAAAATTCTTGTCAAATAATAATTGCGCATTTGCCAGCGGCATGCAATAAAAACCTTTTTCTGGCAATTTTCTTTCCTAATTGTTGCAACAGAATGCTTTCGCTCACAAATGATCCATGAATTTAAGATCGATTACTCTTTCTCTCTCTGAAAGTGCATCACAGGCAGAAGAACGCATATGAGTAGCGGGTATCTCATAGCCATTGCACTTGACTCTAGCATTCCTACTTGCCAGAGTTGTGGAATGTGCTCAAGCCTCTCTAAGCGGGGTCTCTAGTTGGCAGTGGCAGTGGCACTGGCCCAAGTGCTCTGTGGTGGCATGCCGGATGTTGTGACAGTGCACCCCAAAATATTTCCACCCTGCCAGTGGCTGCATAACTCTCTCTCTTTCTTTCTCTCTCATACATATACTATGTACTCGTATTTATTTTGTTTTTTCTACATTCAAATTCGGTCAGTTGTTCTACTTCGCTTTTGGACGTTGACATTTTTGCTAAATATTCAAAAAGTTTCAGCGTTTTTTTTTTTTCGACACTCCACCCCACAGCACAATTTATTTTTATATTTTTTTGTTTGTTATGTGAATTTTTATAGCATATCAGGAATGTTTGTTGGGGGCAAATCAGGATGATGGCTTTGGCTGTTCGATAGTTTTTTGCATGAGACACGTTGTCAGGGACAGTCGGACAGTTGGCCAGAAGCTGGGCTTTCCGAAATGCGTCACGCATGGAAATCCATGTGGAGCACGGGCCATGGGCATGAGCCGGTATCTGAATTTAATCTGGCGAATGGGGCCAGAGCTTAACTTCTCAATGCTGGTTCGGGGGTAGGTCTGCCTAGGGCCGTGAGGCATGTAAGGATCCAACCGGCTTTAAGTGGCACACAAACACAAGCCAAAGTTTTCATCAATTTCCATTGATTTTCACAACTGCCATCATCCTCAGAAGCGTTATGTTGCTCCATTTCAGCATTTCTAATGTCTCGCTCTATCTCCCGTTTGCATTCATCTCTCACTCATACATATATGTGTGTTTGTAGGGGCATTTGGCATTTGAAGCTATCGGAAATGCAGCAACACTTCAAATTTCAAATTATTTTTAAGTACACGAAGACTGTAAATTGCACAAAAGCCAATTCTCGGCATTAGGAAATTGTTTTGTGCATCAGTCTGCGTATGTGTTTTGTGTGTGTGTGTGTGTGTGTGTGTGAGAGAGCAACAACGATAAGAATCCCAATCTGAGAGCAACAAGAACCCAGACAACAGTCCAACGTAAATGTGGCCTCTTCTACGGGGGCCCGGATCTGGGTCTGAGGTCCGCTCTTGTGTGTGTTTTGGATCGGGTATTCCCTTCAATTGAAGCAACGAGGATGAAGTCTTATTGCTATGTGTACACTGAGCGAAACTACACCGCAAGAGTCTGTCACAAATCTCATCTTTCTCTTCTCGTTCTCGTCTGATTTCTCTCGGTGCATCAAAGCCAAAGGAGGCGCTGTGGGAACATGAACCAAAGTGTTTGTTGCATGCAACTGATTGCAAAGGATTTTATGGCTGTTGCTGCAGCTCCACTCCACCCCACCCGTCTGAACTCTCTTTCAGCCTTCAACATCTTCCGCCTTGGCCCCTTTGGCAGGGCAATGCAAAAATCCACAACAGCAGCAGCTGCCGATCGCAGGAGCCAGCCAGCCCACCATCGCATCGATGCAATGCTTAA